GAACACACCAGGTGTAAACCCGTGTAACCCCGTTACAGCCACAGCGAGTTCGTGCAGATGCGGGCGGATTTTTTGAAGCGTCTGATGGACGTACGGGAGCTGACGAGCTTCGCACAGTACATTGACGGTCATTGGCTTAACGGCCGATTCTCTACCTGGCAGCTCTATTGGACTCCCACCGGTTTCGCATCTACGAACAACCCGGTGGAGACCTTTAACGCTGTGGTGAAGCGCGATTACACCCTTCGGCGTCGACTGAAAATGGGAGCGTTGCTACAGGAGCTGAGCAACTGCTGTCGGGATAAATCTGCGAGCGAGAGAGTCTTCAACCTGGGGATCGTTGCAGCTCAAACCCTCGTACGCAGGGTCTCCGAGATGATCCGCGCGAAGCTTATCTACGAGGGCGAACGCGATCTAGGCGATATCCCGACCGCTGGACTCATACGTGTGATTTCACCTCCAGCTAAACGCATCCAAGTATCCACCAACAAACGCAGCGAGGAAGGTATCGCTGTGAGTGCCCAGATGGGCGTAAATTACGCCAGGATGAAGTTCGAGGGGCAGCCGTACGGTGGATGGGTCATCGACACCGCCCATATGTGGTGTCGATGTAGCTACTGGTTCGGCTTTGGCGCGTGTGTGCATGTCCTATTCGCGCAGCGTACACTCGAGTATCCGGACTCTGCTGGACGGGAAATTTTAGTTACGCGCGGTAAACACAGGAGCGGTACGGTCGGTCCGAGCTACCGTGACGATCAACGTGGTGGCCGCCCACTTGGCGTTGGTCCTGCGCTGACTTATTGAGTTCCAGTGCACGTGCGCTAGCTCTTCATCTAGCGCCCATCAGCCGTTTGCTTTGTAGGTGTTGATCCAGTCGTCGAGCATGCGAGGATTTTTGTATTTGCGATACATTGGCTATATAGTGTGTGTTTTTCGCTTTGACACTATATTTTTAAGAAGTATCCTTTGATGGTCTCCTTAGTCGACGTCGTCTGCGAAAAGTTCTCACTCGAATTTTTAGCGATCTCGCGAATTTGCGATCGCTGGGCATTCTTTTATGCGTGCTCCTTCCAGCACTGGTCACATGCACATCTGAACCAGATCTCGTTACCGTAAGACACCGTTATCTGGGCTCAAGCGTCGACTGTACTGATCATAC